CTGCGCCACCGTCATGACGTCGCGGCCGCTGAGCGCCAGCGGGATCGCGTCGGCCTGCCGAGGGCGGGGGGGGGACGGCGAGGAAAGCGCGGCCGACGGACGAGGTCGGTACGACCCTCGCCGACGTTTCGTTTGCTTCTGAGCCCACCGAAACTGACCCACGACCCTCTGGGCGACGAGCAAGCTGCACAAACACCAGACAGCTCGCCCCTTGGCCCCCCCGCCAGCCCCAGGCCAAGGGGCGAACAGATATGCGGGCGCAGCACCGCGCTGCATGCGCAGCCTCCAGCTGGGCCGGGCAGGGCAAGTTCCAACGCTGCCTCGCGTGGCGCGATGATGCCCGCACCGACCACGACTCCTCTCAGTCCCTACCTCCGACCCCCCCATTTTCGCCACCTCCTCTTCGTCCTCGTCCTCTGTCCTCCCTCGACATATCCTTACACCTCTCGCTTACGACCCCCATCGAAATATCCTCACACCCCTCGCCTGCAACTGCCGACGAAATACCCTCACCGCACCTGGCCTAAGACTGCCAGGAAAATATCCTACACCCCTAGACTTGACACGGCCAGCGAGATATCCTCAACCGCCATGCCTAAAACTGCCAGTGAAATACCCTCAACCCCCTGACGTGCGAAATATCCTCACACCCGTCCCGTAAAACTGCTAGAGAAATATCCTCTCCGCCATCGCTTAATATTGCCATCTCAACCCCATGGCCTGAAGCTGCCAGCAAAATACCCTCACACCCCTCGCTTGAAACTGCCAGCAAAATATCCTCACACTCCCTGACTTAAATTGCCAGCAAAGTATCCTCACACCCGGGGCCTTTATAGCTGCCAGCGAAATATCCTCACACCCCTCGCTTGAAACTGCCGGCGAAATATCCTCCACCCCCACCCTTGAAACTACCAGCGAAATATCCTCACACCCGTCGCTTAAAACTGCCAGCGAAATATTCCCACTTCCTGGCTTGGAACTGCCAGCGAAATATCCTCACGCCCCTGACTCAAAACTGCCAGCGAAATATCCTCACACCCCTGGCTTGAAACTGCCAGCGAAATATCCTCACCGCCCTTGGCCTAGAACTGCCAGCGAAATATCCTCACCCCCTGGCCCAAAACTGCCAGCAAAATGTTCTCGCACCCCTCGCTTGAAACTGCCAGCGAAATATCCTCACGGACCCTGGCCTAAAACTGACGGCAGAATACCCTTACACCCTTAACCCTTAACTTGAAACTGCCAGCGACATATCCTCGCACCACATCGCTTGAAACTGCCAGCAAAATGTCCTCCACCGTCCCTGACTTCAAACTGCCAGCTAAGTATTCACACACCACTTGCTTAAAACTGCCAGCGAAATACCCTCAACCCCCTGACTTAAAGCTGCCAGCGAAATACCCTCACACCCCTTGTTTAACACTGCCAGCGAAATATACTCACCGCCACTGGCCTAAAACTGCCAGCGAAATATCCTGACACCCCTCGTTTGAAACTGCCAGCGAAATATTATCACCGCCCCTGGCCTAAAACTGCCAGCGAAATATCCTCACCCCCTGGGCTAAAACTGCCAGCGAGATATTCTCACCCTCCTGACTTACAACTGCCAGCCAAATATAATCACCCCCTTAACTCACCACTTCCAGCGAAATACCCTCACCACTGGCCCAAAAAAATGCCAGCGAAATATCCTCTCACCCGTCGCCTAAAGTTGCCAGCGAAATATCCTCACCCCTGTCTTACAACTGCCAGCGAGACATCCTCAACCCCCTGTCTTACAGCTGCCAGCGAAATATCCTCACCCCCAGAAATAAAACTGCCATCTAACGGCTTCTGTTCAATTCTGTTCAGTTGACTTCGCGAGCATCAAATTACGGGCTGCGCCCGTGAATCATAGCTGCTGATGTCACAGGGTACATC